AAATGTTACGGTTGCCGGAGGTCAGAAGAAAGCAGCTTGTCTGGCAGGTACTCTGCCCTTCAGGAAGCATATTGGGGGGTTTCCCAAAATTAGGGGTACCTTTTTGGGTGGGTCCTTAGAATAAGGACTATAGTTTTTGGGGGTTTATGTTGGGGTCCCCTTCTTTTGGGAAACTACTATATTCGGAAGAATGCGTTGTAACTTTCTGACTAGATGGGCAGGGGCGAAGGCAAGGGGAAGGTCATTACTTACCAAGCAGAAACTGCTGCAACTTTGCAAGATCACGGACCACCTACGCCCCAAGCCAAACGCAGTATCTACTCAAATCTTAGCCAGAGGCGACGCCCCAAATCTTGATGCGCCCTAAAGCGCATCCACCCCATTGCCAAAATTTGGCTTTCTAAGCGCTTCTAGGGCTAAATTCTGACCTTTGACCGCAAACTTGAAGACCCTGCGCACGCATGACACCAGCCCATCCCTAACGATCGTGGCAAAGTCTTCCATTGCACATATGTCCCCAACAAATACTATGGAACCTCAAATATGGGCACAGTTCAACAGAGACTAATCTGAGCAGTGCCCCTTTGGGGGGTTCCATATTTGTTCTGTCAAGCCTTCCCAAGAGAAGCATCCCCCAAATCCTCTTAATACAAGGAAGGAATCCTTGGACATACCCCTTTGGGCGGAGACTTGAGGAAGCCCATGATTTTGTGGAGAGTACAACTCGCATGCTGCTGCTGAGCCGCTGCCCTGGCGACACCTTTCACGGGGCAGGCAATAGTCAAAAAGCATTCTTGACAATTGGACAACTGTGGGCAACGCGAAACACGGGAATGCACACACTACACACTATTTTTACCATTACGACTATTATTACCGTTATTCATTATTACTACTTTGAAATTACTGCAATCTTAATACTGTTACTACTATTATTGCTGTCCTTACAACAAAAGGATTGACTCCAGTCATGCTGACTTCGATATTCATCCACTCTCGCCGTCCGTTTCCTTAATGAGATGACCGCCTCAGTCCCAAATCTTCTCAAATCACCTCCTCATAGGTCCAAACTTGAACAGCGAAGAGTCCACTGGCAGTCTGAAGGAGGTGACGGAAGTAGTCTCTCCAGGTCCAAACAGTAATGGTCCTCACAAGGCTTCTTCACTACCCATTTGAATATTTGAAAAAATAAGCTCGCCCTTAGCCATGCATACACCCGAGATATTGTATTCCTTCTTGTCAGAAGTAACCGTGGACAATGAAAACTGCAGGGATCCAAGTAAGAAAAAAAATCACACATTGGGACCTGAAGACTACAAATGCTACCTACATTGCGCTATTTGGATCCCTAAGCGCTGAACCCCAAACGTCCCAAAAGTTTTAAACCCCAATCCTGTCGGCCAGCCTGAAGCGGGCCGACGATGCCTTTTGGGTTCCCCGAAGGGGTCCAAGTATGTACAGGGTTTGGAGAGTCGAGTTTAGGGTTTCGGGATACATCTACTTGCGGCTTCCCATATAGCTACTTTGGGGCCCAAGTATTTGCTGCAAAGGTACTTGGATCCTTTTGGGCTTACTTTTTCCTCGACAGGAAAACTATCCCAGGTTAAAAGTCTCTTGGCATAATGGCAGAGGAATTCTAGAGATATCCGAAGCTCCCCAAAAGCGTATGCAAGAGCAATGTGAGCTACATATAATCTAAACTCCTAGAATACTCCCCTACATGATCCCCAATATTTCCTCTTTTCATGTGTCAATGCTGGGAAAGACTTCTCTATCACATCAAGCCCGGCTACCTTTGAAGTGGGTGGGTTGGTACCTTCTGACTAGACGGCGCCTGCTACAAGGACTCGCCCAGAAGAAAACGCTTTGAGGAATCATCCCTTAAACCCTAAACCTTGAAAAGGGTCTAGGGCTTGGGGTTTAGCGTTTGAAAATATCCTGAGATTCCAGGCTTACTCTGACATGGCAGGCTGAAGGAACAGCCATGCCACAAAGACATAAAACACTAAACCCTAAACCCTAAATCCCTAAACCTTAAGCCGCATTGGGCAAGGCATCAAAACACCAAGGCAGGATTCAACTCGACAGCCTCCACAGGGATTAGGATAGGGGTGGTAATATTTGGGCGTTATAGGGGTTATATAAGGGTCCCCTTTAAAGAGGTTTTAGGGGTTATGTTGGGGTTATATGGGGATAATGGAAAAGAAAATGGAAACTACAATTTAGGTTTAGGGTTTAGGGTTTGGGGTATAGTCCCCCCTTAAGTAGATAGAATATGGGGTATGCAGGGATCTTATTATAATATCCCCACAGCCATATTCCATCTACTTAAGGGGGACTATAAGGTTTAGGGTTTAATTTGACCCATACTTACTGGCTGTTCGGAGGGAAGAAAGGCATACATCATATAGGGTTCATATATCGAGTTGATTCCCTTATTCCCTACTAGGAGCCAATAAGTAGCTTAGGACTCAAGGTTCGGGGTTGGATTCCTGCATCTGCGTTGCAACGGAGACCTTCCTATGCGCACACAGAGCCTTGCCATGGGGAATGAACTACCAGGACCCTCCTTGTACCCTTAATTGGGGGTATATGGCCCCTAATAGTGGGTACTTAGGCCCTAATAGAGGGTAGGAGGAGGGTCTAGGTAGTTTCTAGACCTGGGCGTTGGATGAGAAATTGTATTGCACAAGCCTTTATAGTCAGGAAGATTGCTCAGGGTGGAAAACACCCCACCCGGCTGCTCTGAAATGCTTAAAGACATGAGAACTGGCCTCTCCAACCATCTCTAAACCCTATAAACCCTCAATTTTGAACCCTCATCGCTAAACCGCAAACCCTACAAAAGCAAACTCCCCGGCGTCGCTCTCACACCAGTGACTGCCGCCTTTTGTGGGCTTCCGTCAGTAGGACCAACATAGATCCCAATATACTATAAT